AAACAAAGGGATGCCTGGTGCAGCTTCTGCGAGCCCTCTGAGCTTCCCCCGCCTCCCTCGCGTCCGCGGGCGCCTCCCCCCCTACCGCCGGGGCGCTGACCCGAGGAACCCCAAATTAGAGGCCTCCTAGATGGGGTCGGAGTAGATGGGGTCGGAGGATGGTGCCACACCGCCGATATATCGGCGAAGCATCGGCGATGTATCGGCGATGCATCGATGATGCACTGGCGATACACCATCGATGTGGGCGATGCATCGGCGACGCCGGCGTGGAGAAAATCGGGCTCCGCATCGAGCCGCATCGTCGATGCATCGGCGATGCGGCGCGATCCTCCGACCCCATCTTCTACTCCGACCCCATCTATGAGGCCTAGATGGATGAGGAGCGAGGCCCCTTTTTTCCCGCAAGTTAACCTTCGCTTGCCCATGCAAACCAAAGGAAAACCTACTATAAAATAATAAAGACGCCATAAACACAAACCTTTGGCGCTCGGCGCGGATTTCTTGGATCCGCGCTGGACAACCCTCCCTGGCGCGCGGAGCGCGCCAGGGGCGGCGCCCGAGGCGGCTCCCGGGTGGGCCGAGCGCGGATCCAAGAAATCCGCGCGGAGCGCCAACAGTTTATGTTTATGGCGTTGCTTCTAAGGCAAACTGTAAAACAACCAACTGGGATGACCGTGGGTGTTCTAAATGGATAGGGGGGTTACAAGTAGATGCCAAGGTGGGCTGTGTCTGGCCCAATCTGGCTTTCAAGTGGTTTACAAGTGCCCCGAGTGGCTTAGGGGGGTCAACGATGCGGGCGAAGTGGGCGGCGCCCACTTAGCGGAGTTACCTGACCCCCCTAAGCCACTCGGGGCACTTGTAACCCACTTATAAGCCAGGTTGGGTCAGATATAGCCCACCTTGGCATCCACCTGTAACCCCCCGCGTCCACTAAGAGACACCCACGGCCATCCCAGAAGGACCACCGAGCCCCTCCCCAACGGAAAAGGGTTCCTTCTTCAGCGCCCCGACTGTGAGGCTCCCTGGGCGGCCCGGCGGCGGGGCTCGCCCAAACCCTCCAGGGCTTCTTCCAGGGCGGCCCACAGAAGGCCGAAGGCTACCAATCAGGAGGAGGGATGAAACACGTGGGGGAGCAGCAACGGGAAGGAGGAGGAGGAGGAGGAAGAGGAGGAGGAGGACCAGTATAAACCCAAGAGCCATCAACGATGGTGTAATACACCCTCCCTCCAATCTCCCGCTTCAGAGGCCCCTCCAACGGTTTATCTCCATTGAGGGATCTGCCCCGTTGGAAGACAGCCGTTCGAAGACCCGGAAGCATGCCAAAACATTGTACTTGGGATTCCAACGCCACGGATCAACCTGACTGTTGCGCTTTGACGATCCTGGATCGTGCCAGAGACCCCTTCTTGGGAGTTCAACACCGTCAAGCAAGGTAACTGTTGCACCCGCAAAATCCTGAATTCTTCCAAGACGCCATGTCTGGTACGTTGATCGTCGGAATCCGCGAAACTCTTGCAAACTGTACGAACGGGTGTGCGCGGCGCTACGGCGAGAGCCACATGTTGAAAAGGAACGGCCCTCAATTCGTGAAGCTCCTGCAAGTTTTTAGAACGAATGTACGCGGCGCTGAGGCGAGAGCCACATTTTGAAAACGGGTTATCCTCAATCCGTGAAGCTCTGGGACATTTTATGAACGAATGTGCGCGGCGCTACGGAAAGAGCCACATGTTGAAAAGGAACCGCCCGCAAACCGTGAAGCTCTTGTAATTGTTTAGAACGAATGTGCGCGGCGCTGAAGCGAAAGCCACATTTTGAAAACGACCCGCCGTCCATCTGTGAAACTATTACACATTTTTATGCTTCAGAGTCACAAATGGTGAGGAAGTCTCAGGCGAAACGCCCGGCCCGCCCTAAAAACTGGCCTCGGGGTGCGGCATGGAGAAGTTATGTATAAGCGCCCACGCGGTCGCGCTGAACGCTACCACGAGACGAACCCAACAGGCCCCCCAAAAAAGACCCCAAGAAGAGTCCAAGAAGGAGGCCGAACGGTCCCCAAAGACTTTCGCGACACCACACCTCACGACGATACGCGACATCACACGCTGCACGACACCAACAAACGACACCGCTCAACGCTACAACGACATCGCGCGGCATCACGCGAGACCAGTTCGACGTGATCACAAGACAGCGCGACACCACGCAACACCACCGCGAGACAATCACGATACTGCGCGACACCTCATTACGCCCCTGTGCGAGACAATCACGGCATCATGTGCGGACTGACCGCGCGACTGGTCGCACCAGCGGAACCTGGGGCCCTTAGACACTTGCGCTTCGCACGCACGGCACGGCACGTCACGCACGACACGAACGCCACATCTCAAACTCGGTTTTTCAAATCGAGGGCAGCTTCGCACATGAGTTTCGCCAAACCTCCGAAGTAGGTCATCCATACCGGGGTAGACACACCCGTACTCTCACCACCAAACGC